ATATACTACTACTTTATTACTACTACTAGTATACTTATTATATATATATATATATATATATATATATATATATATATATATACCAATAGAGTCTTTTCCAATGTCAATGTCATAATAACCTTTTCTAGTAAATGATGCGGGTCTCATGTACGTTTCTTTGAAAAATATCAACCATGATATATCAGCTTGAAATCAGCCCATGTACATTTCTATGAAAAATGTATATCAGCTTGAAATCCGATGAATTGGTTCCCACTTGTTATGATAAATTTAAAGCATAAAAAATGATGGAGATCACTATTTTTTAAGACTTGAGAAAACCGCTTCTAAGAAGTGTATGATGTGGGCCTCGAATAAGGTAAAAGTTTATGTGAACTTTTTCTTTTAGTTAAACACGTGCATTTCTATGAAAAATATCAACCATGACATATCAGCTTGAAATCCAATGAATGGTTTTGATACGAGTAGGACAACGGATTTATATACTCTTGTAGTTTGAATCTTGGATGTGTTACACATTTACATTTCCTTGGCTATTTGAATTACCGTTTCTTTCGATCTTTTAAAGGGCAAATTTATTCAACTACCAATAACATATGGGATTGTATACAATGAGTGATACAAGGTAGTTACCGTATATAATGAGTGATACAAGGTAGTTATCAGTTGATCTGAAATTTGATAGCTTAGATGTGCCACAAAGTTTGAAAAAATTTCTTTTGAAGTTTGAGCTTGGTTAATGAAATAATTGCAGCTATCCAATTGGATATCTAATGACCAAGATTATTGTAACAACTTTGTATCAAAAGTAAATGGTATCATTCTATATTTTCTAATAATAGATTTAATATTCAACATTTTACCCTTCTACAACTATTCTACACCATGATCGTATGTCTTTTAATAGGTATTTTAAAATTGGAAAATGATTTGATAGTACTACAATCTTATCAAAATAAGTAAAGCCTCACTTCAAAACGAAAACAAAAATTGCGATTATGGTGTCGGAAAACTTTCAAATCAATCATCTCAGCCTTACCATTATAGTTGTGAAAAAAAGTAGGATTTCAAACTCTAAAATAATGTAATTGCAACATATTATCTAGGCCATCTATTTCACCTTAAATATAAGTATTCATGGATCCGTAAGATTGGTATACTTTTTAGTTTCAAATTTCATAGTCAGTGTTGGAAATTGATTTTAAAGCCATCATGGAGATTTTTGATGCCTAAAGTGCTATCAAGATGAGGATTCGAGGTAAGGTTTTATTTTGATTTGATAATGCCTAGGCCTTATATAAACTGCAACCTTCAAATTAAATCAAAAGGGTTGTGGTTTGTATAAAGCTGAGGCCCCTAAACAATCAAAGTAAGGTGCACCTTCAATAGTGTCAAAATATATTGTTTTAGTATAAAAAATCATTGTGATATCTTGAAAATTTATTTTCATCTCTAATAATAAAATTTTAATATTAAAAAATAACGTAAATCAAGTAGATCAATGAATAACAATTACGCGTTACAAGATGCACTATTTCCAAAACTTGAAATCTATTTTTTCTTATGTCCATAAATATCGAGGTTGAGATGATCAAACTATGGGTCTAGTATCAAAAAAAATTCTTGTGAATTTTTAAGGCGCGTCTTAATTTGATTGTTTAGTGTCTCACCAACTTTTACTAATCAAAAGACATGAGGATAAATGTTAAATAGTCAATATCCATAAATTTTGATTTAAAGAAGTGGTCATTTTTTTGGGAAAATTTATCAAAAGGGCAAACTTTTTATGTTTCCCACTGCATAAAAATTATGTACTTCCTCCTATCCAACCATCCATTCTGAATGGAGGGCTAAGATGACCCCAATCACAATGTCATGTCTCTACACTATTTTATTTTTATTACTTTTTTCATAAATTATTTTGACACTAAATTTTGAGCATCCACTTCTCTCTTAAACTCGTGCTTTTAAAAAATCTTAAAAAGTATTCCCATTAAAATAAAATGACCAAAATACCCCTAAAAGTAAGGGGTATTTGGTTATTATATTTTATCAAAAAAAATTAATATTCTTTTAGGTGTGCCCCATTGAGAAGATGGCACGTACCAAATTTTATTTTCATAAAATTTATAATAAAAATTTAAAATTAAAATACTTTGAGACGCCTATTCTAGATCAAATAGTCAGCAGGTCACTTGATCTGAATTGGACAGCTAGATGGGGGGTGGAGGTATCTATGTTGTAGGGGAAATATAGAAACTTTCCATTTATCAAAATACCTATAAGAGATGAATTATTTAAAATTTTACCCTTTTTATCACATGTCATTTTAGGTATTTTAAAATTAAATCAAAATATATGATTAAATTGTTAAATGGCTCATCTCTCATTGGTATTTTGACAACTTTTTTCTGTTTTTCTCCCCTTCTAAAAGAGTGGCCTTTTTCCTTTTCTTTTTTCAGATGATTCATGTTTTTTTTTCAGTGTAACAAAAAGGGCTAGGCGGGTCCTAAGCAGCCTCGGAGTCCAGGCCGCCCAGTGCCTAGGCAGGCACCTAGAACTTGGGGGGCTACCCAATTGAAAAAAACATACCAATATACTATATTCCAAGTTGAAAAAAAAAAAAAATTGGACGTCGAGAAGAAAATTTTGATAATCCATAAGTAAACTATAAAACTATACAAGTGTAGGATATAAAAATCAACATTCAACACAACAGAAATATACAAAAATTTAGAAAATATACAGTCTAACAAAAGTAAACACTCATGACTCAACATAACAGTCAACACTCAACACCAAGAGGTAAGAATCTTCAGTCGCCATCATCATCAGAAGGAATATCAATAGGACAAGCATATCATCATATCCATCAGAGTCGACGCCATCATCATCAGAGTCATCTCCCTCTTCAATATAATGCGCGTCTTCTTCTGTTTCTTATCTACCTTCCTCTTACTAGTATGTGCAGTCTGTCCAATGAAGCCCTAGGAGTCTTGTACTCTACCTTTTTCTTTGTGATTCTCTGAACTCAAATATTGTATAATTTCCTCTCCGGTAGCCTCATGAATATTTTTTAAAGAAGCAACATCCCTTTTAATACTGACAAAGTGTTTTTTAAACCGGTAAATTCTCCCATCAGTATCATTTCCACAATAATTACATTTAATACCATTTTTATCACTTGGATTCTGGTGATAACCATACTTCCAACCCAAATCACCACTCCGACTAGAACCTGAAGAAGATACTTCCATAAAACAATGCTTATTTTCATCATTTTCTGGTTTTTTTAAATTCAAAAGATGTCTAATTTCATCCCGAACTGCTTCAAGAACCTATGTACAAGAAGCAACATTACCTCTAGCACCAAAAAAGTGTTTTTTAAATCGGCTAATTCCCCCATTGGTATCTTTTTCACAAAATTGCAACTTATACAATTTTTATCATTTAGTTTTCGATTGTACACATACTTCCAACCCGAACCACTTCTTAGAAGAAATAGCAAAAATAGATTTATAACAAGGATTTTGTTCTTTTTTTTGTTTTACGTAACTTATATATTGTTTAATCTCATCTTTGATAGCTTCAAGAACATTTTTACAAAAGACAACATCCCCCTTGATATCTACAAGATGTTTCTTCAATCGGTTTTATCCCTCAGTTTGTATTTTTTTCACAAATTTTTGTCATTTGAAATTAAATTGTATCCATATTTCCAACTCGGGTCTTCACTTCGACTAGCTCTTAAAGAAGATATCTCAAAAGAAAACAAAAAATCTAAAAAATAAAATTTCTAAAAGTTTCTCTCTCTAAAAACTGTGGGTTTAGATTTTAAGTGAACCTAAAACTCCTCCTTTTAACCTTTTTTATCTTCAAAAAAAATAAAAACATTTTTGCCTCTGAGTAGGGCACAGGCCCTGGGCAGCCACCGGCCGCTTAAACCTGGGCGATACGCCTAAGCCTTCTGGACCGCCTAGGCGCTGGGCAGTCCATTTTTTTTAACACTACTCTTTATTCTATTATGGGATGGGTGCACTTAACATTTTAAACTAAACAAAACAAAAAACAAAATCTACTTCTTGGTTTTAGAAATTCATCGAGTTTGGGAGTTTAACACAACCATCAAATTTCCAAAATCTTCACTGCACACAAGGAGAATGTAAATGTACATGGAGGCCAAACGGGTCTCCTGTGAAAACAACAGAGACCATTGTCAAAAATTGGGGAAGCTTATATGCACATAGCAGACCAAAACAGAGAATTTTTAATGGACCCCAAACCTCCCAAATTTTTAATTGATTAGAATACGGGGTGGTTAATTAGTGATTTGCTCCTTCCAAATTGGGTGAGGAAGCTTGGTTTTGAACCTTGGGCCATGTCACAGTGGAAAAGTTTTATGGGTAAATGCCTCAATAATTCCTATAATTTCCATTTCCTGATAAGATAAGGCCCAGCTATTTCAAGAGTCGAACAACTGTGTTCGCCACTTCCACTTTTCTGCATACACGTTATATCTAGCCGAAAGAAGTCTCCGCAAAGAAAGTTCAGCTATTTACAGTACCTCACAGAGAAGTATGAATTGAAGTCTTCTATACAATTAGTCAGAGAGCTTTATTTGCTGTCATTTACAAGAAATTGAATGGCCATAGTAATACATGAATAAATCATTAACCCATGAGCTCTTTTTGCTTTTATCTTTTTTGTGATCTTTGGAACTTGAAGGAATCATATTTCCCTCGGGTAACTTAAATTCTCTCTGCATCTTCATGCACTGTTATCATATTTTCACATTTAGCTCAAAGCTTCAGCCATAATTGAACGGTATGAGAGCTGCTGCTCATACAGGTCCCTGAAAACTCGATATTTAGCGTCATGGTATTTCTTCATGTTAGGGTCTTGAGATGGCAAAACAACCTACAAACCAAGAACTGGATCATAAAAACTGCTTGAACTCAACTAGAAAACATACCTAGAACCATAAGATGTGAGTAATCAATGGCTGCAACATTTCTACAGTTTATTTTTCTCTAGTTGGTTCTATTTGAGTAACAAGTTCTTTAGATTACCTCTCCAGCTGCATTCAGTACTTTCATTGCAGCATGAAGACTTGGGAACTTCTTAGCAGCAACAGCACCAAGGATGGCAGCACCCAATAGCACAGACTCATTTTCTCTTGGAAGGATTATTGGGCAGCCTATGAGAACAGGTCCATTAGGTTACCAGGTTTCCATGTGCATATGTGTGTGTGCATGTGTGTCTGTATGAAAGCAAGAGAGTGTGCAGCCAAAGGCAGCATGAGTGCATTCACCTACCAATTATATTTGCATGCTCTTGAAGATACAAGCGATTCTTGGAAAGTCCACCACATGCAAGAAGTGTGTCAATCTGTAGACAAAACATAGCTCGTATTAAAAAATGTCACATAAAAAAAAAATAAGCCTATTGCATCATAATGGATAACAGAGTATGAGACCAAATGAATGATTAGAAATTGAGAATACAAAGAACTGAATGCTGCTAACCTAACCTTATAGTGTGAATGGGTGCCTTGGAGTTGCAAAAAAGAAGATCATTAAAGATAACAAGTTGTGAGGTTGGAATGGGGGTCAATAGAATCATTCGTTCCAGTAGCGCACAATTTAGCCAATGGTCAATGTGACAATTAATGGACATTCTGGCACAAAGGATGAAAAGCATAACAAAAGAAACAATTTCTTTTTAGTAAGGAGCAGCATTTGTTATATTTCCAACATCAAAAGAAAAGAAACAAACTCCACTAAAGGTGGAGAAAGTGGGAGTTTTTGCCCCAAACTGAGAGTAGTTTCTGTGAAAGTTTACGCCCCAAATCGCTAATAAGTTCCTAGGTGGTACCTGACCTCGGGTTAGTATATGCATATAAACAGAGCTCTATGTTAAAGAATTAGAAAGCCAGGGATGAATCACAATAAGCTTGCAAGTCAAACTCTTCTTAGTCCCCCTCATATACATGATGGGAAACTGATGGATTCCAATAAGAGTCCTAGTCTAAATTTTATGCTATCACCAGGCCAGAAAGGGGATAGGGTGGCATTGACTCTTAACTTATGGGGAATCGCCCTCAATGAAGAGTACTCTTCCATCAGGAATATCTTCATAATAAAGTTTCTCATGCATTTGGACAGAATGTATTTTTTTACATAAAAGGAAATCTATTTCCCAAAAAACGCATGGATTGTGCCTATGATGTCCCAAGCAAGGGAACTTTAAATACATTCAGATCATCCATCAATCAGAAGATATCATGTTAAAGAATTTCTCTCTCAATAGTAAGTATCATGCCAAAGAGTGAATACTAGCCTTATGCCCATGAGCATTACAGTGCTCAACAATATGGCGTGTGCCATATGCAATACCCTGCAGTGTTGAAAGGTATAAGAGGGCCAACTGTTTCTCACTTGAATCAAGTGTTAAGCCAGAAATCATTCCTTTTGCCAAGGGGTCTGCAATTGGAGACCTGTATCATTCACCATTGTAGTAAGCATTTTATTGAAAAATGTAGGATTTATGATAATTAGAAAGGCCCATTATGCTACACTCTACTAATATTCGGCAAAAGACTATATTACCTGTTCCCATGGAAGTCAGGAAGAACATGTAAATCCTGGGTCAAGGAGGCAACAAATGGAGCTTTCAACTCTTGCATGGTTGATTCTAATATCTTGTTCAGTGATTCATAGAGTGAAAGACCTAGAAAATTTGGCAATAGAAAGTAATGCATTCATGGTGATACTAAATTTAGTAAACTACATGAAAAGAACAAGCTTAAGCTTGATGCTGTATCCATAACTCAAGGAAAACTTCCACTTCACCAAAGTTCCATATAGCCCAAAAGTTAATGCATTAATTACTTTGAGATGCAGCACGATCAGCAAGATGAGGAGAGGCAACATGGTTCTCAACGACATAATCTAGCAAGGCACCAGTTGCACTTTGACCTCCTTCTGTGAGCCAATATTCCGGCACCATTGCTGGCAAACAGGATCAATGTTATTTGACAGTGGATGCATTTGAATTCCAAATACAAACCAGGATAATATGACTTATCGCATCTATTAATAGCCTATAAAATCGCAGAACCATCATACTTTTCTACTCTTCACCATGGATTTGACAAGCAGTAAGCAAATTATAATCCAATGGACCAAGGGATAATCGATGGAATAAGGGAAACCACAGTCCAATGGATTTATCAACCACATTGATAAGAATGGAGGGAGAAGGACACATCAATGAGGTCATCTTAGTTCTCACATCATCATTCATCATTGTAATGACCCCTATGGACTATTAGTATACCCTAGTCCATTGGATTATAGCAAACTTTCTAATTTACAAGACCAATATACACCAGGCATACCTGACCAAAATGGGCCCCAGACACCTGGAATAAAGATTTTACTCCGTGACACCGCCATATGGCAAGTAGATGTTCCACAAACCAAAACCATACGATGGGTTATTGTTTCACTGTCGTCAACCCCTGCAATGTCCACTCTTCTCATAAAAAATAAGAAAAACCTCACAATGGGAAAAGGGAAAAGAAACTATAGTCCAAAGGACTGTAGACCAACACTGTCCATTGGTCATCACCATCGAATAAAATGGAAAGCGGAAAACCATTGTCCATGGGAGCGATGCCCTTTCCTGGTGTGTTCTCTTACTCTCTCTCCATCATGTCCATTATTTCATCAATGAGGATGACCCCACTGGATTATGTTTCCCCATAATCCATTTTACTATTGTATACTTCCCAATGGAAAGAAAAGGAAAAGCATCTTGCACATACCTTTTGCTTGAAAATGTGAAGCAGGCATGCTTTCCATCACCCCTACACCTCCTGCATGAGCATCAATCAATGAAGCTCCAACAGGGGTTCCCACTGCGAGACCAAGCTCCTGTACATTCAACATGATTTTGTTAAAAGTGGAACGTACAAAACAAAATTGGTCTCGCAACTAAAACTATCATCCCCAATGAGTATTAGACAAATTTTTTCTTGAATAACTGTGTTTCTCTGAGTTGGTGAACCGCAAATGCATCTTAAGATAAATGTGGATTCTTCAATATAATTTCTTGCCTGTGCAGCAGCAGCCGTCAGACCAGAACCCAAGGGATGTCCAGGAAATGCAACGCTTCGTCCTGTACACAGTTTACTTATGACCAAAGACTTAACCTACTAATTAAACATAAAGGCAAAACATAGGACATGCCACACACCATAAGTGTTAACAAGACCAGACTGGCCATCGAACCAATGGAGGCAATATTTAACTAGTTAAAAGGTTTTAAAAATAAGTAAAATTAGATAAAGTACAAACAAATAGAAAAAAGTTGAAAACGAAAAAGAAGAAAATGAAAAAACTCCAGAGAAATTTAGAAAAAATATCTGAAAATATTTGCAAGCAAAAAGGAAAATATAATATCATAAATAAACGAAATTACAAAAACATTTAAATAACAAAAATTTCATAATTACAATATAAACAATCTCATATATTACATGAAGCACTCGAATAACTCCTTAAGATATAGACATTGAATTTGAAGGGCATTAATCAAGTAAGTGAATCCCATAACCATACAAATTCCCATAATATATCATAAAAAGCACAATATCACACGCCTAATATAACCCACTGCAATATTAGCTAAAAATTCCTTTCCTAGAACCCCATAGAAACCATGTAACCCTTTCTAATTTCTCAATTTTTAAATAAAAAAAGCAAAAAACATAATACTTGCATGGGAGGCTGACACATTCCCCCAAAATGTGGCCAGAGAAGTCCTAAATCTCGCCAGAGAAGGACCTCAAGTTATAGGAGTTTTGGGTCTAGAGAGAGAGAGAAGAGAAAGCAAAAGAGCCAAACTTGCTCTCTCCCTCAATATTGGGGCTTTAACACCTAAAACCAAGCCAAGTGTTCGTATGGACCTCAAGACCCCTATAAATGTGTGAAAATATTTTATTTTTTAAAAAAAAAAAAAAAAAAAGAGGACAAAATGGGTAAAAAAATGGCCAGAAAATTCATCATTTGTTTTGACCTTTCATATTGGGACATACTTATCCACAATAGATCAGTTGAACCAACCGGTCTATTGGGACATACTTATCCATTATAGATCAGTTGAACCAGCCGGTCAGTAGAACTGGATATGCTCCAGTTTGATACAGGTTCAGGGTCCACTCCAGTCTGGGACCCCTCCAATCGGTGTGAATACCAGTTCCTGGTGTGGTTCTAATATCACCGTACACCACACAATAAAGACCATGAAGCTTCCTTAAGATACACTGGCTGATAATAAATAATTGAAACTAAGTATAGTTTCCATAAAAAGGACAAACATTAAAAAGAAAATAAGCTAGAAAAGTGCACTCGAACAACACACTACTAGCTAATATTTCATGGAAAAGCACCAAAGGGCTAAAAGTTTCAATAATCCAATTTATCAAAGCATCATAAGGTATTAATTCATGACATAGTATATGCTATTACTCATATTATAACGGCAACAGCAAGGTCATGGGGGTTAATGGTTTATCACCATAGATAAATGGGTTTGGCAGTGATGGAAGGAGAATAGGAGGTACAACTGAATTCCTGACATGTTTGGTAGACCCAATCTCCCTCCAACACCATCTGACCTATTGAGGGGAAGAGAAGGCCTCTGGGACCATACTGTTTCCATGATCATATGGTCCATAGCATACTTTTCCTTAATTCATTTCCCACCAAGTTCTGAAAGAAGAAAAAAGTTAACCCTTTCATCCAGGGATTAAGTCAATAAATTTGGAGGAAACTCAACATAATCATGCATACCTATTTTTGCATGATTCCCTTCCACAAGATCTCCAAGCCCAATTTCTTCCCAGAAGACATCATCCCACCCACAGGCTTCCATAGCCTGAGAGTCATTTTCATTCATTTGTTGCATATGTGCATGACCAAGATATGTCCACTTGCACACTGTCGTGCATAGGCTACGAGTGTCATCACCTGTTGCTCTGAGGAAAATGTAAAAGAGAATAATTATCTATGGTGCTTTGAAAAGGCTGGAATGGCAACATAAGTGTCCACCAAACACCAACCACTTAAAACAGCATAACTGTAAGCCAATATTTACATTTTTATCAAAGATATGAAGTCACATTATAGATCAGATCTCAAAAGCTTACCTATATGCCAACCAGTCGCTAAGATCCATCCACCTAAAAGCCATAGACCATGACTCTTGCAAATTTTCTTTTACCCACAAGAGCTGCAAGCAGTTACAAGTCTAGATCAGATTCCTGGGTGCAAATTACAAATACATTTAAGAATTTTTTTTATATTATTAATGTATCCATATGTACTGCAATATATGCGCATGCAGAAAGGAGGGAGTCCATATGCACCAACCAGTACATGCACATCCCCAATGGGTACAAAACACATAATGCAGACAATTCTTCTGTAAGGTAGGTGCTCTATTTATAGCATGATACTTGTTCCCAGAAGTTTATGAAATGTATGAGGAGCAATCAACATTCAACAGTGGATAGTTCATAATCTCTAATTTCTAATGATTTGTATGAAATCTAGAAATATAATGAGGTTGTAAATTATTAGAATGTTCCATGGTAACCCTATCTTAAACAAGCAATATATAATTACCATAATATCGTCATCATAATCATTAGAGCCGTATCCCAACTATTTGGGGTCAGCTACACGTCCGCCATTCTACTCGATCAAGGGTCATACCCTCAGTAAGACCATAAGTCCACATATATAATTACCATAATATACTTTATAAATTCATTCATAAAGGCCCTGTTTACGCACGCTTTTCTGACCAACTTAACAGATGTTCCGCAGAATCTTTAGATTGGGAGAGGCTGTGAACCAGAAATTTCATCTCATTTCTTGGGAAACCCTCTGTCGACCTAAGGGGCTCGGGGGAGTAGGGATCAGAAACTTGAAGAAACATAATATGGCTCTATTGGTAAGTGGTGATGGTGCCTGGCCACACAAGATAAGTTATGGACCAACATCCTCAGGCACAAATACCGCATTCCCTCTTCTCGCTGGTTACCTGACTGCAGGAATAATAGTAGATCGTCGGGGATTTGGAAATCTATGTGCTCATCGTGTAAGTTATTTAAAAGATGCATTATTTTCACCCTAAAGCTGGAAACCAGATTCTTTTCTGGCAAGAACCGTGGTTCGGTCAAGAACCCCTTATGGATAGGTATCCAGACCTCTACTCGCTTGCTCGCTCTCAAGGGGCATCGGTGGCAGACAAGATGAATACCGCTGGGTCCTCTCGTCCTTGGAATCCAGTCTTTAGAATGGTTCTAAATGACTCCGAGATAGCCCACTTCTCTGACCTAGCTGCTGCTCTACAAAAGTGTTTCATTGCCACCCATGGGTCTGACCTCATTGTTTGGACCCCTTCTGCCACTGGTACCTTTACGATATCCTCCTTTTACCAAAAACTAATTCAACCCCCCACTTTCCCTTTATCTCCTACTTCCTGTGTAGCTCAAGCTTGGTCTTCTTTTGCCCCTCCAAAAATTCAGGTCTTCACGTGGATTGCCCTCTCCCAGAGGGTGCTCATGGTCGATCAGCTACAAAGAAGTGGTATCCCTTTACCTAATCGTTGTGCCCTTTGTATGGCTGATGAGGAAAGCAATGCCCACCTTTTCCTGCATTGCCCCTTTTATGATTTGGGGTAAAATTCTCCACCTATTCGATTGTCGATGGGTTCTACCAGCCTCTGTACCCCTTATCCAAAACTCTCTTCAACCTTTCCCTTGGCCTAAAGCTGTTATTTTATTATGGAAATCCTATGTGACAGCCTCCATTTGGGCCATTTGGATTGAGCACAATAACAGGATAGTAAGAGGTGAGTACTCCTCGTGGTCCAGTGTTTTTGCCAAGATTAAATCTTCGGTTGTTTTTTAGACATTCAACCATAACACTTTCAAATTTTAGTTATAAATGACTACCTCAGGCAACAAATTGGAAGCCACCTGATCTGGGAAGGCTCAAGCTTAACTTCGACGGCTGCTCCTTTGGTAAACCCGGCCCCACGGGCATAGATGATATAATCAGGGACCACATAGGCTCTATCTCCAAAAACATCGATCATGCCAATTCCATGAAAGCAGAAGCGATGGCTCTTCTTGAGGTACTCAAGCTTGTTTACCTCCACAGGATAGTTTCCATTACCATTCAAACTCCTCCCCGCCTCCTTGGGTCTTGACTCATATTTTTGACGAGATAAATCAGGTGATTTGTAGGGATATGCATGTCTTATGGAGGCGCACGTCTTATGGAGGCACACGTCTTATGGAGGTAGACGTGGAGGGAAGCAAACCAGGAAACGCACACCCTCGCTACGGACATACCCTTAGCATCTTTTTGAATCGGCTTATTTTTGTTGGTTGCATTGTTTCTTCATCATTGTAACTTTTAAAAAGATGGCTTTTTTATTCTCCCCCACCCTTTTAGGTAGGGGTTATTGTATTTAGAACTTCCGCCCTGTAGACTTATACTTCTCATTCTTGTACTTCTTTGTACTATTAGTTAAAGGTTAACGTTCTCAAAAAAAAACTTAGCATGCCACTATTCACAGGTTAGCTTATTTTTGCAATCCTTGCTTGTGTCCAAAATGCAGCTTAAACATTCCTACCACTACATGAGGAAATAAAAGAACCATATGTTCCTCTATTCCCAAAAAAGGTGGCATCTTGATTTCACTATGACCACTTAAGACTAATCTTTCAAGATGCCTGTAAAGATAAGCAATGCTGCAAAGATATTTCTTTGATATGACTCTCAAGGATTCCAGAGCTTAAGGGAAAACAAATGAGTACTATCGAAGAAAATTATCATATTTTTCAGATCAAAGGTTAAGTCGTATTGAGAATTAAAATATTCATAACAACCCTTGGCATTCACTTTCACTTTCATTTTAGAAGTTTTTAGAGAGACCCTTATATATATATATATATATATATATATATATAGTAGTATA